AGTGGATGGGTTGTACCCGGATTAATAGGACGCAAATCGAATTAAATCCACGTTAGTTCGGATAACGTGGTTGTTTCGGATTCAAGCTATAAAATGCGCCTTCTTTTCCTTTTAGATGTCTTCCTTCCTTCCCTCCCACCCCGACTCCCAATTCAGATTTCCCCAGCCAGAAAATCGAATCTGGATTTGAGTTAAATTTGAGATAAGCTGAGAGGGTTCGGTTCCCCGTGCTTTGGTTCCCCCTCTCCAATGGTTCTGCGCGTTCTGGTTGTTCTTACTAGTGGAAAACGAGGGAGGGTGGTGGGGGCCAAGAGCAGGAAGGAGCCAAGGAGGAATAGGTACGAAGAAGGTGCGGGTCTTGCTCAGATTCTCGGCTGTGACTTGATCCGATTTCTTTGTCGAGTGAATCCATTCTCTCGCCTGGGGACCGTAAGGAGAGAGACGAAGTCACCTCTTATCATGGGGATATATCCCTGGCCTCCTCTCTGATATCTTTTCTCGGCCTTCTCCAATTCACTCTAGGCGGGGAAGCGTCGTTCTCTGTCAATGTCCCTACCAGCTCCCTCGCTTGCGCCACGACGTCCGGAGACTTCGGTTTCCTGACCGGACTGGAGCCGCCTTTCCTTTGGGAGGGGGCGGGCGCAGAGGGCGAACTGGGCAGCCCGACCCCCCCCCCCATCCCTCGAGACTGACTGGGCTATGATGGGGAATATCTATGTTGTTGCGTCCAGCAGCAAATCCTCTTTTCCCCACCGTGTCGAAATGTATCTTGAGTATGGAACCTCGGCGAGGAGGGGAGCCCAGATCTGGACCCAAAGGGGGTTGGTTGCAAGGTGTCTGTGTGTTCCTTTCCCTTCCTTGGATTTGAGGAGAGGGGAACTCCCCCTCGCCGCCGGTTGCCGAGCAAAAGGCGACGCTTTGGGCTAAGAACGAAAAGACAGGTTTTCTAAATTCGGAGTGGCAAGCCCCTATTTCTCTCGCCTCCTTTGTCCGCACCGCTGATGTTTTCCATATCAAGGAGTTTTCTCTTCCCGAAATGGGGTTAGAATTTTACGCAGCCTGCCTATGCACATAGGCCCGAGAATTGTGCGACAGTGATTATATATTATAATGCATTTTATGAATGTGGTTTTGTATAAAACCGTTTTTAGCGTGCCCTGCGCGTCACCATTCGTATACCACGTAGTGCAAACAGTTTTCTGATCACTAAACACCTAAAAGTAATTTAAAGGTGCAAGTAAATAACCAAAGGGGGGGGGGGAGAGATAAACAGGAATGGAGAGGGTAGGGGTAAAAGTGCGGAGGGAGAGGCGGAGGATAGAAAATTAAAAGAGGATTTTGCGTGGGCTATAGAATACAAGTTTCTGGATAATATGTAAATAATTTGAATCTTAAGCTCGGATGGTAATGCGCATTTTCTGCGGCGCTCATATTATTTTCAGTGAAGCTTGCGCAGGAGAAAGGGCAGTGCGCTGCGTCTTTCGCAGGTGTGGGAAGCGTGCTTAACCGCAGATTAGGCAGATGAAATGGTTACGTGGTCCGCGTGGGGAAGAGTCCTGAGGTTCCTTGTTTTCAACTGTCTGTACCCAGAGGTGCACGGAGACTGTAGTCGAGAGGTGGGGGGCTGAATGTTTGCGCCCCATCGATTTGCTGTCGTGATGGGACCAAGTCCTGGCAAGCAGCGGCCTCTGGAGATGCAGATTTTCTCGCGGTCTTGTTTGCGCCCCAGAGCGCGGGCGCCTTTTCCGACGCTCGGCTTTAACCTCTTTGCGCGCGTTCCAGAGATCTCTCGCGGATTCCCACCAGCCCGCTTTACTTTCCGCGCGCGCGTAGCTGGGGACAGACAAATAGTCCTTTCTTCCCCTTTACCCTAACTTCCGCTGCCTTCTGTGTGAACATCAGCCGCTCCTGTTGGAGTCTGTCACGAAATAAGCCAAACAGGAATTCAGACCATAAACAAAATACAAACACTCGATTTTGCATTTAAGGGCATTTTGTTATTTTGCATCTAGGGGCATTTTAAATTTCGTTTAGCTGCACCTCTTCTCCTACACTGATGAGCGAAGAAAAAACAAATTACTGACACCGACTTAAAGGGTCTGGGTGTCTCTGTTCTGCCGTGATTTTTGATGGCCCCTCACTCCTTGTCCGGCGGGTGGGGGGGAGGGAGAGAACAAAGCATTCCTGCATTTTTAAGATCTCCAGAAAATCAACAGCCTCTTGCATTTTCGAACCACTAATTTAAAGACACAAAAATGACGGTTTCCTCACTTTCCTTTACTCGTTTTTTTTTACAGTTGCTGTTTTATGTGTGTGTGCGCGCGCGTGTTTTCTACAGCTCCAACAAAAATACAGCCACCATTCTTCCGCCCACTCTCTCCAGTTGAAACAAATAGAAAACCATCTATAATGGAGAACACAACAACAACTTTCATCGCATTCTGTTGCTATAGCAAATCCTGCTTGGCTGCTTGCCTTTTTTTAAGGTGGGGGAGGGGTGGGTAGTGGCAGGATCCTAGGAAAGCAAAAGGCACCGGGGAGACTCGGGCCTTTTGGGGGGGATTTTTTGGGTACCTACCTCCTTCGTCATTTTGGAAGCTCAGTGGAGAGAGAGAGGACGAAGAGACCCTCCAGTTTTAATCTCTCCTTCGGAATCTGCGTGGCTCCCACCCCCGTTTTCTTTCCCGTGGTGGGATCCCCTAGGGAGGGAGTGGGGTCTCCTAATTCCATTATATCAACTGGAGGAAAACTCGTTCTCCAGCGCCCTCCCTCTCTCCCTTCCCGCGCAATGTACTGCGCCGCAGGCAGCAGCCTCGCGTCCCCCTTCGCGGGTCTGTCTTCCCTTTCTAAGTGCTGCGTCTTGTATAAGTGGATCTTGCCACCGGTGGGCGAGCAAATCGCCCCAAGGCATCCCAGGCGCAGACCGGATTTCAAGCCGTTTGTTCCCAACCTTTCCCTGGAAAAATTGCGAGGTAAATAACGACAGCCTCCTCCTCCCGTTGTTCCTGGGCGATGATGTGAGTCCCAGCATTGGGCCAGGTGGCTGCTGCGACAATGTGGTCGCAGGAAAAGGATCCTCACTGGATCGCCAGAACAAGGTCCCTAACCTGAGGCGTTGGATGCAAAATAACTACGACGCTTTTGTTGAGCACAACTCCAAAAAACTTAGTTTTTGCGGAACTCCAAAGCCGGCGTGGAACTGCATTAAACGGAATTAATTCGCATCACCTCCGCTCACTTAGCGTTGCACCTGGCTGTTGGGGACTGAGCCCCTGGCCCAGCCGTCCTTAGGGTTGCTATCTATACCCAGAGCATTTTCGCTTTATTTTGTGATATTTCCCCATTAAATTTATTCGCGTTTCGGCACAGAGAATGAGTGGGGAAAGTTGCACAGCGCCAGCTTTTGAGAAAATTAAGAAAGATTGGGCTCCCCTCCGCGCATTGTAGATGTGAAAATAACAACCTATGATTTGTGGTTTAGGAGAGAGATTGCTGATGGTGGTCTTAATGTAGACACCCAGGGCAGGTGCGCAGGTTTTGAAGGCTGTATTGTGTGGTTGGTGTTCTTAAAAAGAAAAAACGGTGTGTGTTGATAGGCCATGGAAAGCAAAGACTCTCGCGAACCACTTTCAGCCCTCGTAGAAATTATCGTTTGGTGGTTTCCTTTCAAATGCGCCTCTAACCTCGAAAGGTTCTGGAATCTGAATCCGTGTAAAAAGCAGCATTTTGTGATGTTTTTGGCAGAGCACAGCGCAGCTCTGTTCGTGCCTGCTCAGAAGCAAGCCTCACTGAGTTGAATGGGGCTTACTCCCAGGCAAACAGGCATAGTATTGCAGCCTTTAACTCCCACTGCGAAGGGTAAAATCGTCGGGAAACTCCTGATACGCTTTTCCCATGCGCTGAATTTCTATGGCAATATCGCATAGCAGAAGTGAAAACAATGCAACGTTGCTATTGTTGTTTTCCGTTGTTTTAAAAGGGCAGAAATTTAGAGCATGTCTTTTTCAGATCACTGAAGAGATCCTTTTCTATACATCTCTTGAGCCCTATTCTGGGCTTCTCTGAATTCGTGTGCTCTAGCCTCATATTCAGTGCGCGATCCAGCCAAAGTTAATAGGAGTCCCACCGATTTTAACGCGAGAGGAACCACCACGTTCTTAACTTCTGGATTGAAATAAACGAAATTCACGGTTTAATGGCTTGGTCATGTATACTAATTGTTGCTATTTATTATTATTTTTTGTCACATAACCACTTTACTACAATTTGCTTCAAAACAAGGAAAAACAGCGTTGACACACATTATTTAAAGCCCTTGCAAAATTTGCTGAAATGAGCACTTTGTATGTGTCACTTTTTGCTTGCCTCCTTTTCCTTTACCCCCTTGCTTTTAAAGCATCTGGTGTGTGTGTGTGTATGTGTTTTTTAAAAATGACAGTACAGTTCTAACCCCTTTTTATCTTGCTCTCCTCCCTTGAAACACGCAGGATTCAAATCCATTATCAGACGCCCATCTCCTCTGTATTCCAGAAAAGCCTGCCCTGGTTCAAATAACCAAAATATGCAGGAGTAAAATGAAAATAAATAAATAAATAAACAGATACTGATGAAAGGCAGTTTATCCAGCCGTTGGTATGGGGATTTGTCCCTTTGTTCCCAGTACAGAGAGTAGGAGAGACACTAGGTGAGAAAAGATAATTTAAACTTTAAATTTTTCTATGCTTTAAAGTTTAAGTGAATCATTCCTTCCAGTGACACAGCCATTTAATGTACAACGATTTTTAAAAAATAATAATTGGTGTATCTGGAAAGACTTACACATTTGCCTTTAGAATAAACCAGTCCAGTACAAGGGAACAGCTTACCAATTTTATATACTCTTGTGTGTGTGTGTGTGTGTGTGTGTGTGTGTGTGTGTGTGAATCAAAATTCTGAGTATATATAGTATTCACTTTTGAATTCTGGAGAATGAATTTGCTTCATTACCTCTAAATGTGAATATGAAGGACAGCATTTATATGTGCCTTCGAGAGGTAATAAATAACAATATACATTTTGCTAAGTTACTGAGCTTTCAGTATTGCAGCAATTTTACAGAAGGGAACTAAGGCAGTGAATTAATCACCCAGTGGGTCTATGATGGAGATTAAATTTGGACCGGGATCCCTCTTAGCTTAGAACTCCAGGTACTGAATCACATTCTTTAACACTGCAGTTTTGAAAATAGCGCACTTCTATCTTAGTGGACCACAACCACAGTTATATAGGAAAATCAACTTGAAATTGTTTGACTGTTGTGACATTTCTCTCTAAGCAATATTGGGATTACTATAGCTGAGCATAGGGTGGGAGGGACGTGGGTTGTCTCCCCAACATAGGACTCCCATCTCTTTTGCAAAAGTACGATTACTAGGCTCTCTTGAAGAGCAGCAATACGCAGTGAAAATATCAAGAATGTTGGACAAATACATCTGTTTGGGACCCTAGGGCCAAGGAACGGGGTAGCCATTCTGTTTATTGTGGATGTGGGGACATGCATGCCAAGGACAAACTTTTAGGATTAAGCCATGGAAGTGTTTCCTTTATTTACCTGGTTTTGCCAAAGCGTTGCCTGTTGTGTTTAATATCTTAAAGGCTTTTCATGCTTGGCTCTGTTCTTGGACTATGTTCTGAAACATAGCTTTTATGCACACGTGTGTCTTCTTCAGAGGTGCATTGTTGTAACTTTTGAAGGGTTACCTGCATGCCTGTTTCTCTACTGAGACTTCCATAATTTGGAGCTGATTTGTTGTGGCTGCAGATCATGTTTGTGGTGGGACAGGGGTTGCAGGAGCACAGCTTTCCACAGGGCTATTCCAGGTTCCTTCCCTAAATGTTCAGCTTCAATTAAACAAAGCTATGGACTTAGCATTCTATCCCAGGGCTCACCAATGCAGTGCTCTCCGGGTGGTGCTAGAATCCAGCTGCCCTCTGTCTCATCCAACATAGTCAATGGTTGGGGGTGATGGGCGTTTACATCCTCTGGAGGTCATCAGTTTGGCTCTCCCTATTCTAGGTCCTACTGCCATTTTAAGACAATAAAAGGGGGTGTTCCCATGTTCTGACAAATGAGCACAAAGCTCTAATGAAGCAGAAACGCTGTGCATTAAAAATGATTAAATTAAATGTACATTTTTAAAAAATTTAAAATCACAGGATAACTTTTAAAATGCAATGCATATCACCTTACATTTTAAAATATTTTAAATATAAGAAATAATTAAGAAACCCTGGTAGCCAACAATAAAAAAGCAATCCATATTCACCTACGTTGCACTGAAATGGGAACTAGATCTTTGGATGAAAAACAGGATAAAATAAAATCCACACATAACAAATTGCCATGGGCAATCAGAATACATGGGTCTCAAAATGGATACTGCTCAGGGATACAGACTGCTATTTTGCAAAGGAAGGAAACAAAAAATCCCCACCTCCCTAAAATACTTGATTTTCATTGTCTTGAAGTGGCGCCAGCTGATTTTTTTATTCAAAGTACTTTAAATCACACCATGTTCTAGTAACTTTACACCAAATTAAACTGCTCAATGGGACCTTTAATCACTTTTGTTGCTGTAAAAAAATAATACTTAGATTTAGTTTCAGGGCTAGCCCATTTTGGTGTGGTGAAAAATCCCAACGGCATCTTTCCTGCTTCCACTAATTAGCGTGAGGCACAATCCATAGGGGATGATCTCCTGTGCTGGCCTGATTGAAATGAACAGCAGCTGGGAAAACTGTTGCCTTACAGCATGATCCTAAATGCTTTCACCAACATGATCTTGGCCAGCCTTGGCCAACCTGGTGCCCTCCAGATGTTTTGGACTACAACTTCCTTTAGCCCCATGGATGGCAGCTGTAGTACAAGACCTGTAGAGCCTACCGGGTTGGTGATGACTGATCCTAGCAAACACCGAACACTTCACGGAGGCTTGTGGAACTTCCCAGGGAATTGTGTATCAGAGGCTGATTGCCCTCTTTGCTACTCTTGATGGCCAGGGGGTAGTGTTTTGGGTTCCCATGAGGGCAGGGAAGAGGTTTCATTATGTGCATTGGGTGGTGGTGGTGGTGATGTGTGTGTGTGTGTGTAAAGAGTTATTGCAAGGTTTGGAAGCCTGTTAGAACTCCATTTTATACAAACACCTCCTCAAAATAGTAAGGAGCGAAGTATAGTAGGAAATATTTCTCACATTGCTAGTTCAGGCTATCTGTTGTTACTTTCTTCTAACATAAATAACTAATATAAAGATATATTTAACTGCTGCAATGTGACCTGAAATATCGGGAAAGGAAGGGAACGATGACACCCATTGCTCCTCCCTAAGACACCCGTGTTAATGGCGCCCCAAATCTACTGTCTGGTGTAGGCTCACCTCTGTTCAGTTCTATTTAGTCATGCAAGCATCTTCTGTGCATGTAACACCTTCTGTGCATAGTGTTTTCAAGGAAATAAAACATGCACCAGAGAAAACTTTTTGTGTATAGCTACATAGCTAAATAAAGCCTGTCCTTTATTAGCGTAGTGTGAGGGCCCTCTTTCAGACTTCTAGAGTTAGGAGGATCAATCCTGCTTGGAAAGGTATCGATGAAATTTGAATAATAATAATAATAAATTTTATTTATATCCCGCCCTCCCCAGCCGAAGCCGGGCTCAGGGCGGCTAACAACAATAAAACAGTACAAAAGTACAGCACAAACAACACTCTAAAATCATTCATTATAAAAGCATGGAACAATGACTTTTGAGGTCCCTTCCAACCCTTTAATTCTATGTTTCTGTGATTAGGGACAGTTCACAAAAGGATGCAGAGAAACCTGTGGGTTTCCTGCATTTTGCCACTATTGGGATATATTAGTTGCCACTAATATTGCATTTAGCACTTTTAATCCAGGAGCAAGGGAGGCAATCTAATAAATGAAGCACCGCTGACTGACCACTTATAAATTTCACCAATGTTCCCATGATTATTCCCTTTGACTGTGGTGAGGCAGCTAAACCATCTTATTAGTGGCATGTGAATCGGGAGTCCAGGAAATTCTGATAGAACCATATGATTTGCTGGCATAATTCAAAATTGTGCTCCCTTGCTCTACCAATACAATCAGCAAAATAAAGAGTGCTAGAACCAGCTTTCTTGGATGCCTGTCTATCTTTAGGACCAATTCAATTTATAACTGGATATTCCTGAGGTTTAGACATGTTAATCTGTGGCAGTGAAATCAACAAAGAGTACTGCGGCGCCATAAAGATTAGCAGAAATTGTGGCATACAATTTCATGTCCCGGAGCCTGTTTCATAAGATTTATCAATTTGCAGGATATACATGGTGACAAAAGAGGAAACCAGCCCCCAGTGCATGTGTGAACACTGAGATGAAGAGACCATGAAATACAAAAGATACAGCAGGCACCCGATATTTATACTGCATGTGGATTTATGTGTTTGTTGTTTGTGTGTACATAGTAAGATCAGTGAGCATCTATAACAATAGTCACTGGGCAGAACTCATTCTTTCTATATTACCTGTAGTGGAAGAAAAAAAAACCTGCTCTTGAGTAAAACTCAAATGCAGTGCTTTTTTTATGGGGGTACGCAGGGGTACGCATACCCTAAATATTGTGTAAATCTTTGTACTTTTCCATTTACTGTATTTATTTTCTCCTATTTGAACTATAAAATGGTGATTTTCTTGAGTCAAAATGAGAGTACCCCTAAACATTTTTAAAGGGAAAAAAAAAGGCACTGCCTAGAAGATGAATAGAACCAAATTTGCTGCTATTGTTGTTTCTGCCCCAGAATGAGAGGGTCAAAAATCCATTCTTTGTGGTTGCTGGGCAACCTCCACCGCCCCCGGAAGCAGACGCGGCGTCGCGCTTCCGGTGCGGGCAGCGCCGTTCCCTCACCAAAGATGGCGGCGCCCTTGTCCCTGCTGCTGGAGTGCGGAGGTGGAGCAGAGCTCTTGTTTGGCGGGATCAGAAGCAGCGGGTGACTCTGCCCAGCCAGGAAGGACCTTGGGATGTCCGAAAGCTGCTGGTGTGGATGAAAGAGAACCTGCTGAAAGAGAGGCCGGAACTCTTTGTGCAGGGAGATTCTGTGCGGCCGGGAATCTTGGTGCTGATCAATGGGGCAGATTGGGAGTTGATGGGCGAGCTGGACTACCTGCTCCAAGACCAGGATAACGTCGTTTTCATCTCCACCTTGCATGGTGGATAGACTGCTGGGAGTATGGAAAAGAGCATTTGTGCTGGTGGGCAGAGGGCATAAACATGCCTTGCTCTCCTGGCTGTCACCCCAGATCAGAGTCGGTTTCTCATTAGCTTCTTCTCTTTAATGAAGACGCTTGGCTCCTCCCACCCAGTGGTTCAGCTCTCTCCTCTTTTGCCCCAGAAGGAGATCGAAATCCTTTCTGCACCTGGTCACCCTCTTCCCTGCTCCAAGAGGTTCATGCCATGGGACAAGTGGCTGGAAAGGAGCTGCTTTGCAGGTAGAAGGGCTGAGCTTACCGTGGCTGTCGCCCTTGTTTGCTTTCTTCTCCTTGGCGGCAGGGAAATGCCTGAGATCAAAGAGGGGATCTCCCTTTCCTTCCAATCCAAGCCTTGGATCAGGTTGCAGCCGTTAACAGTCATTAAGGGATATGGGGCGCATGCAAGGAAGATGGCAGATGCAAGACTCCCTCAGCCTATCTGCTCTTGATTTGCCATGCATGGATTTCAGTTCTGTGACTCAGTTTTGAAAAGTACCCATCTAGAGCCAGCTCACAAATGGTTACTTTGAATTTTGATGACTATGAAGTATACTTTTGCCTGCCTTTTTTTAAAGAAAAAGAAACTTGATGACCCTCAGAGTCTGTTCCAGCTCTAAAATTCTATGATGCTCCATTTTTTAATCTTCTGGAGGCACTGCCTGATCCTGTTCTGCCACAGCTGCTGTGTATGCATGCGATTGATTTCCCTTTTCAAATTGTCTGCTCTGCACTGTTCTGTTGCAAAGTGTTTTGCAATGTGTTGCAGAAGATGGAGTGCTTCATTTGAAGCTGGGTGTTCCGGACTCAGGTTCTGCCTCAGTCATGTACTTACTTCACTGGGTGGCCTTGAGCAAGTTGCTCTCTACGTTAACTTCAGTTCCACATGTGTAAAGTGAGATTTGAAATGATCGACTCTGCAGCATGGTTGTGACAATAAACAATAAAAGTTGTGAAAACAAAAACAAAACACAAAATTCATTCTTTGTCACTGGTCAATTGTAATTAATTTAATGCATGTTTTGAACATGCAGCTTTGGTTATGTATTTAACTAGTTGCAAAAATCAAATAGGCTATGTTGTTTGTACCTATTTGAATCTGTGAAGGACATACATAATATCAAATAGGTTATGGCTTTCAGAATGAAAGCTGAGTGGGTGGTTGCTAATTTCCAAATTGTGCAAAAGTGGAAGAATGACACAACTTTAATTGAAGGCGTGGAAGATGCTAATAATGGATAAAGTATTGCACCAATGGAAGATAGCATTTTAACCCCAGATTTAATTATTATTGGAAAAAGGATTCCTGTTTCTAACTGAGCAGCTTGGAACAATAATAGACCACCCAGACTCTCATCCACGAGGATTTACTGAATTGAATATTGCCGTTGTCACTTGACCTTTTGTTTATGTACCTGAATAAATCACTAATTTTACTTCAAGTATTATGTTACTTTATAGATCTGCAAGGGATGGTATTTAGGTGAAAATTTTTATGAAATCCCAAAGCACTAAAAAGGACAACAAATTCTAAAAAGCTAAGGCAAGGTGTTATCTTTTATATATAACCTGAAACAGATTCACCCTGCTAAGTGAAAAACGAATGCAGTTTGAACAGTCTAGAAAAACCTCCTATAAGAGTCTCAGAACTTGCTGTTTCTGGAGGAGAAATAAGTTTTGAGAATGTCTTTCCAGCTGTCCTTGTTGCATGAACTTGACCACATGTCATAAAGAGAATGTTTGTCACAAAACATAATATGTAAAGGAAAGTAGGGGAGAGATGTAACCCTCAGACAGGGAATCTGGGGTGAAAGTCACTTAGGGATTGGTAAGGAATCCCTCATCCTTTGGATCACTAACCTATAATAAAATTCATCTAAATTTGGCACCAAAAAAGCCACAATTCTGTACTTCAGACAAAAGAATGGCACTAACAAGCAGCATGCAGACACCTGATTTGTGGCTTTGTAACTGAGTTGTTGCAAGAAGGAATTGTGTTGGAGGGGAGCAGGGGGAAAGGCAGAGAAATAAGGAATGGGAGGTAAAAATGATGGATGATGGATGGTATGGATGTGCTTATAGCTGAGAGCCTAGAGGAAGTTTCACATTTCAAAGCAGGGGCCAGAATCTCTGGCCCTGAGAACTGGGGCCATTTCTAGAGGCAGCTTGTATGTTTTCAAGCACAATCTCTTTAGTCCTCATTAGCAACGCAAACCAATCCAGAGTCCAGGACACTCACATTTACCCCAGCTGCCTTCATCCTCTAAATTTAAATTTGAGGGTAGACAGCTATGTTTTGCTTTTGTTATCCTTTAAAATACCATTTTACATGGATGGTGTTCCATAAATACATAGTGTACTGTAGGTAATAATTAATAATAATAATAATATAATTCCATAAACATTTGGAAAAGTTTGAAAGTGAGATTAGATCCTGCAGAATCCATGGCCAATGTCAGATTCTGTCCCAGACCTCAGAAGATCTGTACATGGAAAAATCATAGAAGATAAACAACTCTGTCGTGGGGATGGGGATGAGTGGGTCAAGCCCAGCACCTTAAATCATAGCCCCGCAGAAAGCTCCAGATTAGGGCACGACAGCAGATTGTGTTGACATAGGATGCTCTTGACAACTGGTCCTGTTTAGCAGGCGTGTTCCAAAATGCACTGCAGGAAAGTCTCTCCTGAAAACCCATGGGTACCTGATATGATACACGCTACGCCTTCTTTGTGGAACCAGAGCAGTTAAGATGCGATTGATCAGCAGGTTGTATTACCATCACAGCTTCTCGGCATGCCACTTCAAAGGCAAAGGCAATGTCATGAGGCGGAGGGAAGGAGGCTGCCTTGTGAATTATGGCATCATTATTATGCAAATAAACAGCACTTCTTTGGGAATTGATAGGATTTTGCGCAGGATCATTATAAAATGAAGGTGACTGTGCATGGGAAACACAATGCGGAAGGTGGCAGATCTTCTATAAATTTTGAGGTGATTTGGTTTGGTTTTAGGAAGAGTTTTTGCTTGTTGTGGTCCAGGCCCATAGTCACAAGGGGGGCAGGCCATGGGCCTTTCCCCTTCTCCTGTGAATTTTCAGCATAATTTAAAGTATTTTGCCCTTTTTCTTGTAGAAATAGAAGGGGAAATGTGCAGATAATACTGCTCACTTAGAAAAAACCCAGCTCCCATATGCCACTGTTTTTGTTCACATGAACAAAGTTACTGGACTGACAGGTTTCGGGACACTGGGCCCTTAACAGTTATTACCATCTTATTTAAATGAAATGAATTAAAAATGAACATAGACAAATGTTCAGATCTGGGTTTTCGTTGTTGTGCATCAACTTGATGTACACGTTACCTTGGCCATTGGCCCTTCTCTCCATCTCTCCCTGGCTATGGGCTTTGTACCCCTTTAGAAGAACTGGCAAATAACTGCTGCAGTATCCAGCCCATTGTGTCATAATAAGGATTTCAATCAAGCCGTTAAACTCATGACAACTGTGTTGGAGGAGTCACTTTTCCGACAATAAATCTCCTTCCCAAAAGCCAGGCATTCTGTTTCCAAAGGTAGTCAGCTGAATGACTGTGGGGTGTTTGCAAGCCCTCACTTGTTTCTCTCCAGCATGTGGTTTTCTGTGTTTAGAGGTTGTGTAGAGCTCTCCTTGCTCATAACTGATGATAGAGCTGCTCTGCTGTTTTTTAGGATCAGTTGTGTGACGCTAATCTCCCTCCCCCCCCCCAATCTCTCCTTCCTCTTGCTATGTCTCCTATCAGTTTTCCCAGGTTAGTAGAGTTGTTCTTAATTCCTTCTGCTTAATACTTCCTTTCCAGAACTTGAAGAAATGATGTTTAAGGATGCAAAGTTAAGTAAATAAAAAGCAAATTGATTTTCGAGGATTATCTGAACTTGAAAAAGGGTGAGAAAAATCATAATCAATCTGATTTAAACCCAACAATCCTTTAATTGCTTCCACCCTTTGATCTCCTAGCCAGGGGTAACATTTTTAGGGTTGAATTATGAACCTCTCCATTATGGAAACACTGACAGAATCTTAACTAGAGTGGCATGGGTGGAACTGTGATGATCAATGGAGGATAGAATTGTACTATGCAACTCTAGTTGAGATTCAGTTGAAGTCAGTTTGGGCATTGAATCATTGAATCATAGAATCATAGAGTTGGAAGAGACCACAAGGGCCATCGAGTCCAACCCCCTGCCAAGCAGGAAACACCATCAGAGCACTCCTGACATATGGTTGTCAAGCCTCTGCTTAAAGACCTCCAAAGAAGGAGACTCCACCACACTCCTTGGCAGCAAATTCCACTGTCAAACAGCTCTTACTGTCAGGAAGTTCTTCCTAATGTTTAGGTGGAATCTTCTTTCTTGTAGTTTGGATCCATTGCTCCGTGTCCGCATCTCTGGAGCAGCAGAAAACAACCTTTCTCCCTCCTTTATGTGACATCCTTTTATATATTTGAACATGGCTATCATATCACCCCTTAACCTCCTCTTCTCCAGGCTAAACATGCCCAGCTCCCTTAGCCGTTCCTCATAAGGCCGTTCCTCATAAAGCCGTTCCTCAAAACTCCAACTCCTCCTCCTCTTCCTCCTCCTCCTCCTCCTCCTCCTCCCCCTCCTCTTCTTCTTCTTCTTCTTCTTCTTCTTCTTCTTCTTCTTCTTCTTCTTCTTCTTCTGCAATACCTTGCCGGCAGAGGCATTTTCGCTGTCATTACAGTGATTAAATAAAAAATGTCTTCGTAAGAAAGGCTTCTGTGGCTTTCAGTGTGAAGCTGGCTTCTCCCTCTACCACTGGGATTCTGTTGACCTTTCTATGGATGTTTTAGTACAAATTGTTTGACTTGCTGATTTGTGTTTCAAATTGCATTTTAAAAATTGTTTCATTACTGTGATTTATTGTTGTTTTACTCGTATCGTACATTGCCTCAAGTGCCAAACTGTAGGCAGAGAATGCACACTTTCTATCTATCTATGGCCCACTATACAATACCGTTGTACAGATTTCTCTGGTAATGTATAGAAAGGACTCTGAATGCTCAAAGCACTATATGAATGTTTAGGTAAAGGTAAAGGGACCCCTAACCATTAGGTCCAGTCAGGGACGACTCTGGGGTTGCGGCGCTCATCTCGCTTTATTGGCCGAGGGAGCTGGCGTACAGCTTCTGGGTCATGTGGCCAGAATGACTAAGCCGCTTCTGGTGAACCAGAGCTGCGCACGGAAACGCCATTTACCTTCCCGCCGGAGCGGTGTCTATTTATCTACTTGCACTTTGACGTGCTTTCGAACTGCTAGGTTGGCAGGAGCTGGGACTGAGCAACAGGAGCTCACCCCGTCGCGGGGATTCGAACCGCCGACCTTCTGATCGACAAGTCCTAGGCTCTGTGGTTTAACCCACAGGCCACCCATGTCCCTTCCGTGTTTAGTTGCTATTAAAATTGGCCTCTACAATAAATCAAGTTATTTTTAAAATTCTGTTGATTAAATTCTGAAGCTCTATTTTTTTATTATTTGTACATCTTTAATTTCAAGCACAAGAAGTCACAATAGACTGATTATGCCATCAGTATGCTTCATTGTGTGTTCTGTACGCGGCAACTTCCTGCAACTGATTAGGATCAAATTCTGCAACTGCCTTATGGGAGATGCTTCCCCTTGCTTAAGTCAGCACTTTAGGGCATCACTGAAGTTCTGCCCACTTGATTGACGTCACTGTTTCCATGGCAACTAATGCACTTCAAGGAGAAAACAGAGCATGGTTTTATTTTCTTTTTTTAAAAGGGGGACTAAAATCAGTAGCATAAACAAAATCCGCAGTGTTGGGATGCTATAAAGTTTTCATTGCCACTTATTGGGGAAAGCTGCATAACTCACTGATATTTCAGGAGCCTACGCAGTCTCAACCAGCTCAGGGCAGTAAAAAATTTATAGGGC